TTTGAATTTCTTATCCGCTCTTTGCCAAACCAGGTCTTTGAGTCTACCGTTCTCTGAGGTCATAAGGCAATGCAGGCCAGCCATGGAACGATCATATTTACCCAAATTCAACATCTTTGTTGAGAAAGCATCTGTTATGACGCTGTCATCTGGATCAAAATAAGGAATGATCTTGCTATCGTAGTTTACCGCGTAGAGCTTGCCAAGTAACTTTTTGTCTATTTTTCTAAGAAAAAATAGATTTTGTTTTTGCCCATGAAGGATATCGCGCCAAGTGGTCGGTATCATATCAATATACTGCGTTAGGATGATGATACGGTACACTATTACATGTGCGTACATCTCGCAATATCTGATGGCTTTTCTTGCATCGGAAACTTGGTTCTTGTGGAACATCCTAGGTATTTCCCCGTAAATCGTAAACCCTAGTCCTATTATTCCTTCCACTTCACGATGGGCCGCAAACATTTGCTGGTTATTCAAAGGTTTTCCCGACTCTGCAGCTCTGTCTAAATACACTTTAGCGCGTCGAAATACTGATTTTATTCTCTTGCTTGTTCTAGAGAGCCATCTGTCGGGATACTCCGCCAGAGCCTCATTTATCTGCTCTATAACAACTACATCCAAAGTCTTTGGTTTTGGTCCTTTACCGAACAATCCAAGAAGAGCAGAAACAAAACCCTGAGCCGTATTTGAAAGCTGGCTCCCTTGTCCAAAATTACTGGATATGGAGGCAAGGATGTTAATCGCTGCTTTCATAGCACTTACAGAGTCCACGCCAGCATTGCCATACGCCTCGATGTTTGAATTTATCACACTTAAGGTGTCTAAGGCACGTTTCTTGCTATCATCGGAGAGATCGTTCCATTTTCTATCTAATCTTGATAAGGAGTCTTTAGCACGAGGTGACAATAGACCACTGAACGTGGAAAGTTTGCTTTTGACTGCAGAAATGAGTTTGTTTTTACGAACTGCATGTAAAAAAATATTAAAAATTAAAAAGAAATATAGGGATAGTCTCGTCAATCTCATCGTTGTGTCTCATTGTTTATTTTTCTTTCCAAAGAAGTAATCCATTACCTCTCTATTACCTTGCACAATCCATTAAAAACAATTGTACATTGAATATCATTTTATATTTTGAGATTCAAACATTACCTGTATCTTGGAGCTCAGTTATTGATTGGTTATTGTAGTGTCTATCATTCTTGTCAAGGGTGTCCTGGTTTGCCATCTTTTTAGTTAACTCCTTGGACTACAAGGAGTTCGATGTTACGGATATCATAAATGCATTCCTGTATCTCGTAATGTATTTCAAACTCTTACCATTTTTTTTAACTTTCTACGCCATTCTTCAGTATCTTCTTCTTGAGTTGCGAGATCAAGGAGCTTTCGGTTCATCTCGCTTGCCGAATAAACTGTCAAGAGAGGGTGAAATAGCTAGTATATAAGTATAGTTATATTAGCTATCAGTCCTTATTTTGTTTGATTTCTCCGTTGATTTTACAAAAGGAGCAACACTCACTAACAGCTAGTTTTTCACTAGTTAGTCAAATGAATTTGTGTTTACTTTTTTTTCAAACACAGAGAGTTGTTAGGAATGGACTGCGGAGCATTTTTCGAATATTATGTTAATTACTAGTTTTTGAAAATTCCAATGCAGTCGGGAAAAGCATCGTTCTTGGGATAGAAAACAATAGAATGATTAATTTACACATAGATTCGTTACTATTCCTGCCTACAATGAAATGTTAAGTGTCAATAAATCGTATATGATAACAGGTTAAGATAACATTTTAGCTGGAATCGATAAAGTATATTCATTTATAGCTGCTCTTGTTCATTCGTCCAACATGGTGCCTTTGTTCAAAGGATTTCTGCAGCCAAGTGTGATTCCATGTTGGAAATGGCGAAGCATAATCAAAGATACGGCCTGGCATTCAAAAGGATTGAATCAAACAGTAGAATAGAACAAATAAATTGAGCAAATTAATAATTGAGACTTCGACATAAGAGAGATTCAAATGAAGATAAAGAGATTCCCTTCTTTTCATCCTAATACCTGACTGGTCATTTTCCTTGGACTCTGTTTCATCCTCCTACAATATAAAAGAAATTGACAGTGTAAAAATAAATATTGAGAAAACATAGGTCCATTACAGACGACCCAGAATAGTCAAAAGACGTTCAAGTCCCATCTTATCAAATTCATTAATAATTCATAAGGTAAACACAATGGAAAAACACAATGCCGTGACCACATCTTTATATGAGCAAGAGATTTGTCCTGATTTGCATACGACTTTAACTTCGATTTTCTCTTACAAATGATATTTTATCTTGAAGTTTTTTGCGAAATATGCTTTCGCTTATGTTGGAATTTGATAAGCAATATAAAATATTCGCKTCCGACCTTTATGGACTCTAAAACTGCTCGCTTGGGTGCCCATAAAGGTCTCCCGTTCATATTTTATATATTACATGAAATGTCCTGATTTTCAAACTCTTTAACTTTTCAATGATCTTCATATTGCCTTAAAGTTGTGACACAGGATGGCTCTCAAAAGACAAAATTACGTTATTTTAATATTCCAATGTATAATTAAGTATTCCTGTGAAATTTCATCAATATGGTTCAATAGAGTTTTCTCCGTGAAATTGTACATAATCGAAATAGTACAAGTTTATTACAAACAAATATTGATTTGTCTTTTCTTTGATAAAAATATATTGCGCAGTGACACGTATTAGACTGATTTTGTCGTATTTGAGCGATTTTCACCCAACACATGTGTGTGATTTTAACATTTTTATCTCTTACCGGGAGCGTTTCATTGGTCGCCATCACGAAGCAAGCAACGGACAACAAGACCAACAATGGAAGAAGCCTGACGCCTTCCATATCTCTATATGGCAGCATTCATGAAACAGTGAAAAAAATCTATCGATATGAATTTCTTTCATGTTTTACATGTTGATGACTTAACCAGCCGGCAGGAAAGATTGCACATGTTTTCTTGACTGTCGTTGATAATATGTTTTGCTAAAAAGTAAAGTTATTAAACCCGTGAAACAAAATTTAGTGTGATAGTCAAATAGACAAAAAAGAAAACAATGTAATTAGATGCTAGGGCGGATTTCGTATGACTGTGTAAAAAAACAAGGTATTTTCGTGCTGTGACCGTACCGTGCCATAGCGGTGATGTATTGTTAAATCTTTATTTTCATTCATTTGGAATCCTAGAAGGCGAGTTTCCGTGAACGTGCCGTGCCGTGTCCGTGTTGTGATCCGTGCCGTTGCACAGTCATACGAAGTCCGCTCTAATAGAAGACATTACACGCATGCGCGGATATCCTCGAGTGTTCTTTTATCTTTATTTGCTCACTCGTGAGATATCAATGGAACACGGGAAGATAAAATCCAATTCTCTGCGCGCCCATGTAATGCTGTGTTTATCATATATTATATATATAAGTCAAATTATATCAAATAGAATAAATGAAGAAAAAGCCACGCAACTTGTAACTAGGTTTTCTACTTTTTAATGAACGTTTCGGCACTTCGGCCTTCTTCAGCAAACTGAGTGTTTTGCACGCGCCATTGCTACAAAATACGACTAACGGAAAACAACAAAACGCACGCGCTCTACAGCGCGCGCAGCCAAAACAAGCCGAAAACAAGCCGAAACGCGTAGGAGAGTAAAATAGACAGTTTAAATTAGATATGGAAAGCGTTTAAGCTGTCATTATGGACAGTTTATGTTGCAATGTAGATAGTCATGTGACTGATGAAGAAGCTAAGGTCGTCCTGATTGGAGAATTCCCCTCAGTTCGATACCCTATAATTGATTATTTTTTATAGTTAGTCGAAGAATTATTTGGATTTGGTCTAAAGCCCCTGTCACACGAGCGATTTTTTCTTGCAACTTGTGTCGCGAATTTTATTTTTGCAAGTTGCTCGAGCTATGTCACACGAGAGATTTCGGTTGCAACTTGTCTCGCGCAAAAACATTTTGCAAGTTGCACGCGTAATTTCAAATATTCGACCACGGATCCGAAGAGAGAAATGGCCAAAGAAATTGTTCGCAAAAAGGCACGGACTCTTGCTGTATAGCCTGCGTAGCGGCCCTAAGGGGATTGGGGAGGGCCGGCCGAGCGGGGAGTGGGCCGTCCGGCCCTCCCCAATCCCCTTAGGGCCGCTACGCAGGCTACCTGTATAGATTGTAGCACTTCGATCTTCTTTTTCGTCTCTTGAAAACGATTGAGCACCCCAAAGAGCTTTACGCTTGGACAGCTCAGTGATAAAAAGCAATTTGTCTTTGTCTTTTAACTTTCTATTTAGTAATTCGTTTGTAAAGGTATCTTCCGTACTTGTATCGTAAGTATCAGCAACATAACTTACATTTTTTCAGCTCGATTTGTAGCCATTTTGCCGCTGCACAATATTTACAAATTCTCCCTTTGTGATTGGCTCTCGCGCCTTTAATTTGACCAATCAAAAAATCGCAAGTTGCAAGGAGCCATGTCACACGTAAATTTTCGCGAAAAAAATCGCAGAAAGTAGAAACCGATTCTACTTTTCGCGCAACAAAAAAATCACAATTGCAAGTTGCACGAGCGATGTCACACGAGCAAAAAGCTCGAGCAAAAATAAAATTCGCGACACAAGTTGCAAGAAAAAATCGCGCGTGTGACAGGTCCTTAAGTTTGTGAAACATACATAAACAGACAGTTAAGAAGTGAGTATTTATACTTAGTTGCATCAGGTTTAAATGATCTCGGGAGAACTAAAGGAACAATAGAGAGGTATAAGGAAACAAGAAAAAAAAGGCAAGGCAAGAAGTATGTTTTTTCACTGCCGTGACGGTCCCTCGTTGCTCGACAAGAGAAGTCTTCTGGAACGAGGTTCACTGGAAACAGCCTGATGCAAAATGAATTGACTGTTTTAATCAAGAATATCTGCGTATGATTACCCAACAAATTATACTGAGCTATATCAGGATTCTAAATTTCATTGATGCTTCATAATTTTCAATAGCTAACGGTTACTACAATGTTTGGACTGAACATTCCATATAATTATTTCACTTTAATTCGAGTGAAAACCTAATCTAATCTGCCCACATTAATCCGGAAACCTGAAATTCATAAAAAGACGCTTTAATTAGTATCAGAATCAAATTAATGCCGGAAGCTGTCGAGGAATTTCTTAAAATTATTTTTACTGAAAAGATTTTTATTACATGTAAATGCATATATAATTTAAAAAATCAAATTCCTTCTATCAATTCACGTATCCTAAAGAGGAAGGGGCAAAATTCAGTTTGCATAAATTATTATTCATTTATTTTCTTTTTCGTCTTGGGATTCCTGTCTTTTATTACCGTATATGTAGACAAACAAGATACTCGTTTTCAAAAGAACAAACAACAGCCTTATCAGAATATAGAGAAGAGAAATCGTCTCTATGCCTCCTATATTGGTTGTTGGCCGGATGCTGTCGAAATCTCTTCAAATTTAAGTCATTTTCAACATCGACATTAAGTTCTTTTTGAGGTTTGTATTCTATATTTTTTTTAGTTTGAAAATAAACTTTTCAAACAGTATGGGGATCGTGATCATTTAAGCATGAAAAACACATCGCACGGCAAAACCGACCACAAATTCACAATTAGGTAGAATAAAAGTTTAAATCAAAAGCATGTAAATTTTTTAAAAGCATTTTATTTGCGTACCCTTCTCATAAACCTCCAGGGAGAAACTTTTCCACGTTCAGTCAACTGAATGGCACTTTCACTTTGGCTATTTCTCCTCGCAAGCAATAGCTCGCCGTCACACCATTTCGTTTTTGTTTTACCACAGTCTTTTTTGTTTTGAATACTGAAAAATATAAAAATAGTTAGAAACGTTAGCAAAATACATACCATATAGGAAAATTATGTTGCGTTTTCTTAGTTTGCACGATTATTAGCTTAAAGCATCAGCCCAAAACTATTTATAATCAGGATTAGCCTACAAAAACATGACTTCAAATTCTGGTCTTTGTGCTCTCCGTCGAACCAATCCATGGCTGGGGCGTCTCGAGAGTTGTTTTTAAGGAGGTATAACCAATTTCAAATTTTCCACGAAACGTCTACAAAAGCGAGAAGAATATTGTGAAACATAAGATAAAGAAAACTTACGATTTCATATATCTGCCATTAATTTCCCACAAGACGGGAATAGAATTAGAGATAATCGCAATGGCACTGTCACCATCTGTTTTCCATGACAGCAATGCGTCACCAAATCGCTTGTTCACAATGCTGTACGTATTCCTCCCATGAGGAACAACTTTCCAGTGACAGTTTGTGGTGTTATGTTTCACTAATGTTGTACTGCCATTAACAGCCACCAAATCTTTTATTACACGATTTTCTCGGTGCATAAGGCAATACAGACCAGTCATGGAACGATCGTATTTACCCAAATTCAATATCTCAGTAGAGTAGGTGTCCGTTATAACGCTCACATCTGGATCATAATAGGGAATTATAGCGCTATCGTAGTCTACTGCGTAGAGGTTGCCGAGTACCGCTCCGTCAATTCTTCTAAACGCCTCTCGAAATGATATGAGGGCATCGAGGAAATCGTGCCCAGTTGCAGTGCTCGGTACAGCAGCCATGGCAATATACTGTGTTAGGATGATGTCACGGTATAACGCTATGTGTGCGTACATCTCACAATATCTTATGCCTTTGTTTGCATCGGCAACACTGTTATCTTTGAAAAAACTATGTATTGCTCTGGTAAGCACTCCCATAAACGGCAGTTGTATTGATCTTTCCACTTCTCCTTTATCCAAAGTTTCCCCCGACTTTACAGCTGCGTCTAAGTATGCTTTAGTGCGTTCAAACGATGCTGTTATCATCATCATGCTTGTTCTAGAGAACCATAGGTCGGGATACTCCGCCAGAGACTCGTTTATCTGCTCTATAACAACTACATCCAAGGTCTTCGGTTTTGGTCCTTTACCGAACAAGCCAAGAAGAGCGGAAACCAAACCCCGAGCCGCTGCTGCAAGATGTCCCTTTGGACCAAAATTACTGGATAAGGAGGCAAGGATTTTAGTCGCTCCTTTCGTGGCTTTAACAGAGTCTTCGCCAGCATTGCCAAAGGCCTTGATGCTTTTTTTTATTACACTTAAAGTGTCTACGGCACGTTTCTTGTCACCATAAGAGAGATCGTTCCATTTTTTATCTAAACTTGATAAGGAATCTTTAGCACGAGATGACAATGGACCACTGAACGTCGAAAGTCTGCTTTTGACTGCAGCAATGAGTTCATTTTTACGAGCTGTATCTATAAAGAGTAAAAAATAAAATAGTCTAAAAATTGCAACAGTCACATCAATTTCATTATGGTGTGTCATTCTGTATTGCATTTCCCAATCAATAAAATATAATTTCATATTTTTGAGAATCAAACATTACATTCGTACTGGAGTCCACCATCATTCTTGTTTAGAGATTCCTTGTTTGACATCTTTTCAGCAAACTTCTTGGACTAAAAAATTTAAAATATGTATTTTTAACTGTGAGATCAATGTTACGAATATATTAGAGTTGTTCCGCATAAGACCACTAATCCACTATTGTACGTTATTCTACGTTACACATGCAAATTAGGAAGTTATGCAACACCTCTATTGTTAATAAAGTGCAAAAAAACTAGAATAACAACAAATCAACATCACTAGAGTTTCGTATATTTAATAGAATTTAAACTTCGATGCTTTTTACTATTATACATGCAAGTAATCTTGGCACAGTTTGATATTTCATTACAAAAACACGATGAAACGTAAATTGAAGTTACAGGTCCTCGAATAGTTTTAGTCTTCGTTCAGTTAAAAATGTACACAGTTCAACTACAGTAGGTAGGAGCCATCTATGCTGACGTCATATTCCACTAGTACATTTATAATCTTTCACATTCTTGAAAACATGTTCAATTTTAATGCGCTTGCGTGAATGCTCTCTATTAAACTTTCTGGCCTTATTCCTTAGCCGGCGTCCTAATCGACGAATCTGGACCTGCCTGAAGGGTGTTAACAGTGGTGGTACATCAGCGTAGCCTTTATCAGCCATGAAAAACACACCGTGTGGCACATCGAGTGCCAATCCGGGTCCTACTGGTACCATTAGCCTATAGCTTGTTGAGTCATGAGTGCTTCCTAAAAATCCTGACACTATTTGAGGCGGGCTGATATCGAACAACAATGCAAGTGTGTCTATATGGAGATACTTTCGTAGCCACATCAAAACAAGTAAAACTCCGTTACATATGCTCAGCTTGTAAAGTGGCAATCTTTGCCTTGGATTACCGCATCTCGTTATTCTAAAAAAATGTGGCACTGTTTGATACACAAATTGAAGAACACTTTGTGGTTGTTCGCCTNCGAGAAGGCCTCTGCTAGTCTTTATGTCATGAATGACGTACTAAAGAAGCTGGATAAAAGGCTCGACGATATGTGACTATTACTTGCATGTATGGTAGTAACAAGTGTTGAAGTTATATGAAATTCTAATAAAATATACGAAACTCTAGTGATGTTGATTTGTTGTTATTCTAGTTTTCTTTGCACTTGTTAACAATAGAGGTGTTGCATGCTAATTTGCATGTGTAACGTAAAATAACGTACAATAGCGGATTAGTGGTCTTATGCGGAACAACTCTATTGAGTGCACTTGAGTGCATTGTGCATCTTTCTTTTTAATTTTTTTTAATTTTTCAAATGCACACTTACAACTCCAGTATCCACATAAATTACTATACAAGCATTGTGCATCTTGAATGTACCACAAATTCTTACCATTTTTTTGAACTTTCTAAGCCATTCTTCAGTATCTTCTTCTTGCTTTGCGAGATCAAGGAGCTTACGGTTCATCTCGCTTGCCGAATCAACTGTTAAGAAATGATGAAATAGCTAGTAGACAAGTATAGTTAGTAGTTATCAGTCCTTATTTTTTATTTTCTCATTAATTTTCAAAAAGGAACAACACTTACAAACAGCTAGTTTTTCACTAGTTAAGTTAAATGAATTTTGAAAGCTATATTATTAGGGTTCTCAAACACTGAAAGTAGTTAGGAACGTACTGCGGCCGAGAAATTTTCGAATATTATGTTTGCTAGTTTTTGACAATTCCAGTGCAGGCAGGAAACGGCCTCGTTCCTAGGTTGGAAAACAATAGAATAAAAAATTAATCTCCTGCTTCCGATGTCATGTGATGAATCTCAATCAAACTTCAACTTACAGGTAAGTCTCGTTTAATTTTGCAATTAATTTACAGATAGTTTCGTTGCTATTCCTGCCTACAATGGACTGTTAATTATTGTCAATAAATCGTATAAGATAACAGGTTGACGCCATTTTGGCTGAAGACAATAAGTATTCGTTTTTAGCTTCTCTGGTTCATTTGTCCAACATGGTCTCAATGGCCTTGCTCTCAAAGGTTTTCTGTGGTTCCAAACCACGAATTGAGGCGTCGGAAGTGGCTTAGCATAATCAAATATACGACTAGCATTCAAAAGGATTGTATCAAACAGTGCAATGGAAGAACTTATTTAAGCAAATCAGTCTTTGAGCCTGAATTCAAATCATGATAAAGAGATTCCCTTCCTTTTTAATTCTAGTACCTGACTGATCTTTTCCTTTGGATTTTTCTAACTCCTACAATATAAAAAAAATAACAGTAAAGATAAAAAACAAGAAACCATAAGTACTTTTCAGACAACCCAGAATAGTCAAAAGGCGTTCAACAAACAGCTTGGAGGAAATGATTGTCCTGATTTTCAAATTCTTGTGCACTTTTCAATGATCTTCAATTCAATCAATTGGGTGAACATCTTGCCTGAAAGTTGTGACATAGGATGGCTGCCAAAAGACGCGTAGAATAATGTTATTATGGTATTCAAATGCATAATATAGGTATACTTTTGAAATTTCATCAATATGTCCAGTAGTGTTTTCTTTGTGAAATTGTACAAATCAAAATGGCCCAAAAGCGGAGCATCCTTGTCCGAAGAAGCACTAAATTAAAACGCTCCGTGATTCAAATATATGACTCATTTATACCTATTATACCTTCTCAGAAAATGGTTTTGCTACGCATCATTCCAAGAGAAAATTTTGCAAATTTCCTAAGAAATTGTATCAATATTATGTCAAAATACGTTGCTTCGTTCTTATAGTATCCTTATTGATTTTCGCCAGTTTCTATCCAAGAAGCCCTTTTAGTTATTAATAGCGCAATACATACAATTTTTCATATTCATTCTGTGTACTATGTAATAAAATTATATTTAGCCATGACATTTGAATTTCTGCCATATTTGTGCGATTTTCATCAAACGTAAGTGTTTTCGCAATTTCACACTTACCGGAGGCGTTTCATTGTTCGCCATCACGAGGCAAGCGAGTGCCGACACGACCAACAATGGAAGAAACCTGTCGCCTTCCATCTCTCTGATATTAAAAATGAATGCTTTTGAGACATGGTGATCATTTTAAAGAGGAAAAGTTTCAAGAAAGTTATTACACTTAAATCCTTTAAATTGTACAAAGAAAAATGTCACAAATTTGCACTAAACCTGCATTTGAAACAGAACATTCTTTGACACCTCAAAGCGTGAAAAGGTACTAACCAAGTGATAAAAAAGGACGCGATAAAGTTTAGATTAGCCATTGAAAGACAGATTTTGCATAATTCAGAACAATTTAATACTATTGAATAATCAAAGGTTTTCAGGGTATATATATATTTTACCTTGTGTCCTTTGAAACTTGTAGTAGAACCAGTAAGAGTAGTCTTAATCTCTGAATGACATTGATCTAAATGCACTAGTTGTTGGTCTTTTGATACTACCAAATATTCTATAGTGCATGTCATACCAGCCAGACGTTTGGTCCGGTGATTTTGAACAAAAGGCTTGACATTTGTCTGGTGTCACCATTCATGTCAACGCTGAAAAAAAATATCGATCTAAAGTTCTAAATTTTTTCCATATAAGAGGGTAAGAGGGGAAATTCCATGTTTTGTCTTTTTTTGCTTTTAGAGTGAATATTAAACCTTTGATCTTAATGCACTAGTTGACGATCTTTTCATTCCAACACTATTCTATAGTGCACGTGATACATGTGGTCATTTTGCTCAAAAACCTTGGCATTTGTAGGGTGACAGAATTCATGTAACGGTGAAAAAATCTATCGATTTGAATTTCTTACATCGTTTTCTTTATATATCTATGAGCTAACCAGCCATCAGGAAAGATTTTACATGTTTTTCTTGACTGTCGTTGATAATATTTTTTGCTTTCAAAGTGAAGTTCTTAAACCAGTGAAATAAAATTTGGGTATTAAAGTGTGATATTCAAATAGATACAAACGAAAACAATTCAATTAGAGTCTACAAAGAGGAAATTAAAATATAAATTCCAAATAGTATTCCGATTTTTGTGTCAATACGTCAACGAAAAGATATCTTTTTGAACCGATGAATTTCGCGTTTTCTGATCCGCCATTATTTGAGAGCGTGCCGTCCAACTCAGTTACATATTCATAGAAGTCACGCCAGAGGCGCACTCGCGCCAAATGATAAATTAGCGCCTGACTTAGCAACTACGAAATGTGTTTAAGGCACAATTCAAAACAGTGATTCGGGTCTTACTTCAAAATGGCTAACGGGCTATTATCCGAAACGCTAATGAATAAGCCAAGGTTATCCTGAGTGGAGAATTCCATTCAGTTCGATATCCTATAATAAGTTATTGTTTCCAATATTGTCTCCACCACGTTTTGGATAGGTATGCGCCACCAGCGGTCTAAAACTCTGATCGTGTTTTTAAAAGAACTGAAACTCTGCTCGTGTTTTTAAAAGACACTATCTTTACGCCGCAAACATCAAAACTGAAATTATACTTACACCCATCAAAGACAATAAGAATTTTTTGACAAAGAAGTAAAAGGAAACAAGAAAAAAAACAGGAAAGCCAATAGGTACGTTCTTCACTGCCATAACGGTTCCTCGTTATCCAACAAGATAAAAACTATTTGGAACGAGGTTGACGGGAGGTGCCTGATGTAAAATAAATAGGCTGTTTTAATCAAGAATACCTTCGTACGATTACACAAGAATTTACACTGAGCTATGTCAGGGTTTCTGAGTTTTATTGATACTTCATAATATTTATCATCTAACGATTACTACAATGTTTGGGGCATTCCATATAATTATATCAGTTTACTTTGAGTGTAAACCGAATCCATTTCGACCACATTCAGTATTCCGTGAGGAAACCTAAAATTTATAAAAGATATTTAAATTAGTTTCAGAATCTAATTTATGCGGAAAGCTGTAAACTTATGCAATACATTCAAGAGAACCTTTTAGGATTTTTTGAAATATATATTTTACCACAAACTTCTCCATACATTTATATGCATATAATAATAATAATAAAATATTCAACACTAACATTTTTCAATTGCTTTAGAAAAGTTCTCCATCAATTCACTTTCTAAAGAAAAAGAGACAAAATTCATTTTTGCATTAATTATGTTCATTTATTTTCTAGACTGATTCCATAAGTCGTAGTATTCGCTCCTAGATTTTTTGGCTTGTCGCTCAAACTAGCGACTTATGTACTTTATCAGAAACGACTGTACAAACGAAAACGAGGCCGTCTTGCATATTGATTAGCTGGACTAGTAGGATGTTAGAGTGTATTTGTGGCAAAATGAAATGCTGATGAATGAAATGATGAAATGTGTTTGAGCTAAAGCTTGCAAGGGTGTGGAAAGAATTTAGTTGAGACAGTTTATTATGCGGCAGCTGTCTGGAAATTCAAACAAATCGAATCCTAAATTACAGATCAACATCTTCTCCCTTCTAAATTAACACATTGGTATTCCACGGTTTTTCAAAGTAAAGTAAAGTTAGATAGAAAATCAATAGCATTTGAACAGTCTTATTTTGCAACATTTAATTAAGTTATTCGATGATCAGTTTTCACTTGTTTACTTACATTATTTGGCAAATGTACAGATATTCACAAGCCGTTCCATCAGAGTTAAAACTATTTATCATATAATTATCTATGAAATACCTATATTTCTCCATTTCATAAAGTTGATATTTTCACTAGTGAAAATAACATATTATTTTCACTAGTGAAAATAACACATTCGAGGTTTCGCTATATGTAGTGGAAGTAAGAAAAAAGCTATTTTACGACACAATTTGCTTTCATACAGCCTTTTGCACAAATTATGAGACATTTATATATATATAAATATACCTAACCAAATATCAAAAACACCCAAGAAATTATGGGATACCGTCGCTGATATTTGGTCTGTAACAACCTGATGCTAGGCAATCATGACAAAATATCAGCGACGGTATCCCATAATTTCTTGGGTGTTTTTGATATTTGGTTAGGTATATTTATATATATAAAAATGTCTCATAATTTGTGCAAAAGGCTGTATACATTGTTATATGATAAATAGAATATTACATGTTTTCAACACTCGAAGATAAAATCCGTATCTCCGCGCGCCCATGTAATATCCTCTATGTAAGTGTCAGTGGAATAGAAATGCATTCATTCTTCTTTCATCGAAGCGTATTAAATCATGCCCTTCTCCAACAAGCCTTGCCTCGCGCACTATGCTTCGGAGAAACTTATTTAAGCTTATGTGTTGGAATTAGAGAATTAAAAACAAAATCTCTTCGCATCCCGTAGGAAGACACGCAAACATATTCTTTCCTTCTATAGCGTCTAAGAGCACGTTTCTTGAAGGGCTTTTAACACATTATTACTCGATATCTCTAAAAACAAGATGGCGTCTCAGAATTTTTTTCGAACCGGAAATCGTTTGTCAATCGATCATGAAACAAGCTCCAAACAAGATCATCTCTGATTGGCCAATTACTGTAATTGCCCCATTCCAATTTTTTTGATTGCGGATCAGTTTTGCTAATAAAGTTCATAAGTCGGACCTGTGTGAGTGACAAAAAATATCGACAGAGAGGGAACTGGTACCGACTTATGGAATCAGTCTATTTATTTTCGTATTCGTCTTTTTTCCTATCTTTTATTACCATATTTGAAGACAAACAAGATGCCCGATCGATTAGAATATCATTTCGCTATAACATCTGCAAGTTATTATGCTCAACAGTTTAACTCGCTAGTTTGCCTTTAAGTCTTTATAAAACTCATTAATATTCATAAGGCAAAACACAATAGAAATCATAGCGAAATAGAGAGTTGTATATTACATACAGATTTCTTGTTCCTTTGCATAAACTTTTACTCTGATTTTCTCAGTCAGATTGAGTTTTTTTTCAAAAGTTTCTTTAAAACCTGAGCTAATTTACCTTAACGTTTCATAAGTAATATACAATATTCGCGTGCGATCTGTATGAGGTTTAAAACAGCTCGCTTTCAGCTCGCTGTTTTAAATCCTCATACAGATCGCCCGCTCATATTGTATATATTACATATTAAATTGTATTTTTGTATTCTACTTTTTAGTTTTAAATAAACTTTTTCACAGTGTATGGGTAACGCGATCATTTACGGATGAAAAGAAAAACGGACGGCAAAATTCACAATAAGGATGAATTAAACTTTAAATTAAAGCATTAAACTTGCGTACCTTTCTAGTAAAAATCCACTGGTATTTGCTTGTTAGGTTCTTAAACAACTGACTAGTGCGCAGTGTGGATCCCTCTCTAGCTGGTGCAATCACTAGATGGGAGTCGCACCATTCGCTTCTTCTATTACCACACCCCTTTTTGTTTCGAATACTGAAAAAAAATATAAAAATAATTAGAAACATCAGCAGCCTACCTCATAATCATGTTCTATTTTCTCAGTTTACACCATTAATTATTAGCTTAAAGCATAAGTTCAAAATCATTTAAAAGGAAAGCATGCAAAAACATGACTGCAAATTCTACGCCAATGTTCTTAGTAAATATATTTAAAAGGTATTGTGCGCTTGACCTACTGCCATGCACTCCTTAATTGTAAATTATGAATGTGTTAAACAAAAATAATGATTACTATTTTAAAAAAAAAATAACACCATTGTGCTTTTCTTGAATCCCATCACATGGCTGGGGCATCTCGAGGATATTTTTAAAGGAGAAGCAATTTCAAATATTTCGTTAAACGGCTGCAAAAGAGCAAAAGAGAATTGTGAAATAGAAAATAAAAAACTTACGATTTTAAAGTGTTGTTTTTTGTGTTTTCTTTAATTTCCCACAAAACGGGGTCTCTTGGAGAAATCAACGCAAAGGCTTTATCACCATTTTCTTTCCATGACAGGAATTCTTGACACGAATCACGCGCACATCCGCCTCGCTTGTCAAAAATGCTGTACGTATCATTCCCATGCGGTACAATTTTCCATTGACAGTATTTATTGAGATGATTAACTGTCCATGTTATTGTACTGGCACCAACCATGTCTCTTCCATCTTTTTGGTTTCTAAGGCAATACAGGCCAGTCATGGAACGATCATATTTACCCAAATCCAGCATCTTAGTCGAGTAAGTGTCAGTTATGTCGTTGATATCTGGATCAAAATACGGCATTATCATGCTATCGTAGTCGACTGCGTAGAGCTTGCCGAGTATCAGTCCTGCAAATTTTCTAAACGTCGCTCGAAATGATATTGGCACATCAAGGAACTTTTTCCAAGCTGCAGTGGTCGGTATCATGGACATATACTGTGTTAGGATGATATCACGGTATACCTCTAGCTG